ACCCCTATACCTGCATGTACCCTGTCTTATAATTACTAACAATCTGGTTTCTCCGTCAATAATATTCTATTCTATTTACTTCTGAGAACTTTTACCGTCAGTACTTGTACCTTCTGTCTTCCTTCTAAACTACCCTTCTCCTTTTCTATCTTCTACAATTATTAACTATAAATACCCTTATTTTCGATTTCAAAAATCAGTTAGTTCTTCAGAGTTCTTCTAGTTCTTTTCTCCCAGCTATTTCGTAAGTTTACCGTTTATTGTTATTATCGTTATTGTTGTTGTTATTGTTTTGTGATTGTCTTGTTCCTGTTGGTGTGTTTATAAAAAATCTTAGAGACCAATTCTATGTTAGTGTTTTCTTTCAATTCATCGCGCCATATTTGTGCAATACCAAAAACCACCGAAAACACTACAAGTGCTTCGGACAACTACATTGTCATGTTTTGGCGTTGGGGTTTTGAGCTATTTTGTTTGTTCTGCATTTTAATTGATTAACTACTTTAATTCTGAATTGTTTTTACTACTATTAAAAAATAAAAAAACCGGTCAAATGCGAGTTGGACTGACGCACCGGGGGTTCCATACAAAATTGTAGGTATATAATCACAGAAATCGAATCCCGAAGATTTTTCCCGCTTTTTCCGACAACATTTTATGTTTCCCCGCAAAATCAGTCCCCGAAACGTATAATTACAAAATTACTATTAAAAGAAATTTTTTGTGATGTAACTTCAAATTTACAGTTTTCGGATTTTTCTCTTTACTTGTGCTATAAGGCATTGCTTCTTATCAAATTTCATAATTCTACGTCAGCGGGAAGTACCTCCTATATGTTTTTATTCCCTTGCAAGTGTCAAAGTATGCAGCATAAACGCTCGTATCTTTTGATTGCGTTTACTTAAAAGTGTAAGAAGTTATTTTCGTAAAACGAATCTTCTGTTAAGGCTAAAATATTATGAAGCAGTCTTCAGATGTTATAATTTATGCGTCTACCCTCGTCCAAATTCTTTAGACTTTGTTTATATGAACGGCGCGATAACGCCTAGAACAAGCGACCCTTTTAATAACCACACGCACGGTTCCTGATGGCAAGATCTCTTTTATACATACAGTCTTTCGTAAGTCGTCGTTAGTGGAAAATATAAAAATCAGTTAAATAGTATTATTCACCTGTTTTGTGAAAGTGTTAGTTTTGTTGCTATCAATATACCTTAAAGGTGAGTTATTTCACTGGGTGATCAATTTTACTTGGTTAATGAATTGTAATTCATTTACATTAATGATTATGAGCTTTTATGATTATATTTCAATATGTGTGTTGAGCACTATGCGAGTTGACCCTTAGTGCTTTGGTGTTCGAGTATGATGCGAGTTGACCCTTCATACTCCGCTAGTTGTTTATAGAGTGGGTACTATGCGAGTTGACCCTTAGTACCTTAGTGAAAGCATGCCGTTACACTGTTTACCATGGTAGATACTCTAGACTAGCGTAATTTATTTTCCGAGGAGGTATTTCGCGAGTTGACCCTTAATACCTGTGATCCGGAAAAGATTGTAATATAAATCATAAACTATTATGTGTTTATTCACTTCGTTATATTGATTTATTGATGGTTGAATTGGTCGCTCATATATTTCTTTTGTTTATTTTACAGATGTGTCATCTCGGACTTATCAGGCCATTCATACATAAGTAATAAGTGTTTTCATTTTATACAAGTTTATACATATCATTTTATTATCATAGATACGTTTAATTCAGATTTAGTTTTGTTCAATATAAAATAAATCATATAAATTAGTGTTATCATTTGAATATTCTTCGTAAATAATTTAAATACCCCCTACAATTG